TAGGCTTAACCCACTGAGCCACCCAGGCGCCCAAGAAACACCATTTGTGCATGCACGATTTGTAAAGCACAATAAAGTCAAGTGTGATAAAACGAAGTACGCCTGTATCATTAAATTATGATTCAGTAACCTCTGTGAATAGATAATGTATATTAATTCTTACCTACTTCAAAACTCCGTCACTGAATCGTCTAAATATCATAGTGAAGCCACCACGAGCCACCTTGGTCCCTCTCATCACAAGGAATCAAACTGAAAAGTTAGTGTTTAAAGGAAATTATTCCCAGTAGCTCTCAAATTCATCCTTATTTCTAAGATTGAAGGAATTATTCCAACTTGGAAAAGGAAATATTGTAAGGTAAGTGATGTGAGAAAATGTAAACATTAATTATTTCCAGATTATTCGACATGCTAATTAAGGCCATGCACTTGAATTTAGGTGTCATCCGCTTGTCCCACGAGTTGTTACTATTTACAGCCCGAACGCAGGGACAGTCAAATCCTATTGCCAGCATCTTCAGCCCTGCATAGAGGGCTTCGTTGTTTTCCTTAAATATCTTGGTATTTGTGTCATATTCTCAAGGCATCCCTCTACCTCTGAACTTAACGAACATATGAAGGTTTGGCAAGAGCATGAAACTATTTTCTTTCTTTGATCTCACTGCCAGACACTAACTTTTCCCCTTATCTTTCAGCTGGTCCAAGCAGCAAGGGCACTTACAGTAGGATGCTGTTTTTTGTTGAATATTAAGCACATGTCATAATCATCTTTGGGCATAGACAGCCATCATACATATGACCACTTATGCCCACACTGCTTTGTCATCCATCTTTTCCTCGCTGCTTTTTTGAGAGAAACTCATAAAACATGCCTGAATAGTGGCCCCCCACACTTACATCAAAGACCATTCCATGTTAAGGAGAAGATGTTACTAAATATTGCTGTCGGGCTGAACATCAGCAACCCTTCTAGTTGGCAGAAAATGGTCTTTTCGCTTCTTTTCTCATTATTCTCTCAGCTCCCTATTTATTCCTGTCCACTGTGTCCACTTCCAGCTCTGCCTCATTGCTCTCCTTTGGCGTGATTTCATTTATTATTGTTTATATCATCCCTACTTGAGGAACTCACTCCCAGACACATTCCATACTTAAACTTCTTTTTTTCTTAGAAAAACGCCTTTGTCCTAAGTTGTATGTGCTCCCGCCCACATTCTGTAATACTTTAGGAAAATCAACACATGCTAATAAGTTAGTAGGTACAAATAACATAACTTACTACCTACTTCACCTACGAAGTAACAAATTAACATTATAATTCCCCAAAAAAGGACTCCTAAGGCTGGAAAACTTCAGGTAAACCTATAGGAAGACAATATTTTTGGACGGTGGCTATGTCTTCTAGTATTCTTCAAATCCCTTAAGTGTGTGCTGATAGATTGGAAGTAAGACACAGTACTCCGCTAGGAGCCGATAGTCTGTCATATGAATAAGTAACCCATGTGTTTTGTGCTCCTCTGGTCTCGTTTTTCCTTCCAGGTCCTAGTCACGGTAGTTTACCACGTGGTATTTGGACAAGTTAGAGGGAGCAGCACAAGTAATGGTAAACACAGTTCCTCGGCAAAGGCTTCTTGGAAACGGAATTGGGATAAGCAGATGGTGAACGTCACATTGGATCAGCTGCATTGGACAGACACCATGGAAGAGCCTCAATGGACCCTGTGTTGTCGACCCCTGGCATTAGGCAGCGACGCGGATCTGACTTAGGCTCCTTTTATGAGTAGTAACTACTGAACACTGTTGCTGTGTTTGATGAAAAGAGACCTGTGGATTGTTTTTGATCTGCATATTAACAAAGAAGAAAAAGACAGCCAGGTTATTTCCTAGAAGCAGCAAGAAAGATTTTCCCTTAAAAACGTGCAAGACACATCCCTGCTGGAACATGCGCACACGTACGCACGCGTGCATGTACACACAGACAAAACCGAACAAAACAGAACAAATGAAAAATCCTTTCATCCAGAATCTGTGGTTTATTTTCTTTTATTCCTTAGTATACGTGAACATGTGAAAACACACAACACTCAGATGTGCTGCTTGATCAAGTGATCATCTCTTATAATGTGCCTCTATTTAAAGCAACAAACAGATGGAGGGTTTATGAGCAAGGCTGCTAAAAGTAAAAGCAAATTATTGTAATAGTTGTACTTTTAATAGGATTCCCCACAATCTAAAACATTATTCCCCAAGGAACAAATTGTTCTATAAAATCGTGTTACTTAGGAAAAAGGCAGTCCACCCTGACTTTGCAGAGGCAATAGAGGACTCTGGACAGCCTTCTACTGTAGGGGCTCTCAAGGCAGACCGGTGTCCTGGGAGAGAGGATACTGGGATGCTGGCTAGCGTGATCTCCTAAGAAAAAGCTCAGTGGAATAGGGTAAAAGGCAGAAGGACTAAGGGGCAATTGGAGGTATGAAATAATTCTGAGCTTTGACTGCTCTAATGCTCTACTTTAAAAAACGATGTTTGGGTAATTCTTACAGATTTAAGATAAGCACGCAGCATCATTTCCTGCTCTACCAATGCAGACCAACGTCTCGCTCTACACAGCAAATCTTGCTCCACAAACTGTGGAACTGTAAACAACCCAACACAAATTCATGACCGTCATCCCCGTTCAAGAGAAAGAAAAATCGTAATAATTCTATCATTAAGATAAATGGACTGTAGCGATGGCCTTTACGTATATGATAATTAAAGCTAATCTTAATTAAAGTTATTACACCATTTTGGAAGAAAATAAACAACCCAAAGAGAGGGGAACAATGTGGTCAATAACTCACTCCAAAAATATTTTTTGCCTCCAAAGCTCGCATTGAGGGAGACATTCCTGTGCATGATACAAATGGTTCTGACATTACGAAAAGTAAACAAGTAAGAAAAATAAAGATGGAAAAATTCTGTGGTCAGTTCACAAGTGCTTTTTTATTGTTTGAGGCAGGGTTAAAGCCTTTTATAAAGACAAGGATATATGTGCTGCTAGATTGGATATGACATTGGACTCATCTAGCTGCCCTTGCACAGAAATCTGGCTGCCCATAATATGCCAGGGACAAAACATGTGTTGGTGCTTCTAAACAAAGAGCCAGGGTGGGACCTAAGGCAGCTAATTTAAAGCATTACCCCAATGCTGTTTTATAGATCAAACAGACAAAAGGTACTCAGCTCTGGTTATTAATGGATTTGAGAGATAAAGGCAAACATTGCATATCCTCTAATTATTAATGGCCTCGAGGATTTTGATCTAAATTTGTCTCCATAACTGATTAACTTGCATAATCTACAAGAGGGACTCCTGCCAGCCTCATTGCAAGTCATGCAAGGACTGTGTTGACTCGGAAGGCCAGAGGCCACATAAACAGTCTAGAACTGGGAAAGTAGGTTTGTCTTGGGTCCTTGGTGATTTTGAGTACCCAAAGACTCTTACAGTAGCAACCCTGTAGTTATGGGTTGCCTATAACTTGGAGGGACTCTCTTTCAGGTTTTGCTATCCTCAATCCAACCTAATAGTGGGAGATCCAGGACAATGAACACTGGTCAAACAGAAGAAGCAAAAATAAATGCTCTCGTGTCAAGAGCGGCCAGCCTTTCAAATGCGTCCTAGAGAGATTTCACTGGTGTGTCGGTATATTAAATCAAATTATAGCTACCCAACGAGTACGGTAATGCTTCTTTTCCTTGTCATATTCATGCTGGAATTTAGCCAAAGATACACAAAGATCCTCTCACAAGCTTAGGGATTTCAGTTCTGAGAGGTCCTGAGGAAAATTCAAAGGGTTTGTGCCTTCTATTAAAAACTGCTTGGGGCACCTGGGTGGCTCAGTGGGTTAAGCCTCTGCCTTTGGCTCAGGTCATGATCTCAGGGTCCTGGGATCAAGTCCTGCATCGGGCTCTCTGCTTGGAGGGGAGCCTGCTTCCTCCTCTCTCTCTCTGCCTGCCTCTCTGCCTACTTGTGATCTCTGTCAATAAATAAAATCTTAAAAAAAAAAAAAGATTTGGTCTGATGGGTGTTTTCTGTGGTCCTCACTTTCTTTTTTAACTTCCTGACCCATCTCCCTATTTTCCTCACCTCACTATCTTTAAATAGCACCTGAAGGAACAAGCCAGCTCCGAACTACACATACAGCCACAGGTATGGCTGGGCATGTGCGTGGTTGAAAATGAATAAATACACACATACATAAATCCCAGCCCTTGGTGCAACCAGAGCCTGGTGCTGGGAAAGACGCCTGACCCTGCCTATGATTCGGGGCAAGAAATGGATTTAGAAATATTCAAAACAAGACCGAGTCCATGCTTTTACAGTCAGGGTTTAGGGAAGGCGATTTACTCCAGTACAGGAAATGGAACAACACAAAGCCAGCCATAAATGTCCAAGTGGGCTGAGAACTTATACCCTCTGTTCTCTGAAAGACCACAAACCAGAATGCACCACCCAGAACAAAGAAAGATGCTAAAGGACAGTGTGTGTTGCAGGGGGTGGGGGGAGCGGCTGTGCAGAATGGAAGGGATTGAAGTTTAAGGTGAATAAGGGAGGGTAGCCTTCCTCTAAACTGTGACTATTTCACTAAAAATCAACCCACGGCACAATGGTATCAGAGGGTTCTCTACTCAGTAAGCAAGCTGAAGATAGTCTCTCTTGCTGGACCACGGCCAGCGAGCATGCTCAGGGAGGCCCCAGGTGTGACCTCTGCTCCCCTGTGAGCAGTGGAGAGACCAGGCAATCTATCATGGTGTTCCTCCTGTCAGCCTTGGTGCTTCGCCGCCGCTGTCTGTCACCCTAGTGGATGAGACCTGCTTAAGGGCATTCATGTCAATCTCTATGTGGCCATTCAGTCTAAGGCAGAAGGATGATCTTGACAGTCCTGGCAAAGTCAGCAGAAGGTACCAAAAGCTGAAGTCATAGCCTTCCCACAGAGATGCAGTGTGGGCCAGTGTTTTTTCTTTAGCTTTTTCTTTATTTTTACTTGCCTTTTTTTCTTTTATTCTTATGACACAGGCTAAAGCATACAGAACTTGCCATCAGAGCTGGTCATCTCGGATAAACCTGTTGCCCTCCGAGTTTTTCCCGTAGTAAACATAGCGACACTTCCCCAGGACACCTGCAAAGAAAAGGAAACACATCTTCAGAGGTGGTGCGATGAGTACAGCAAGGAAGCACGGTGCACAAAAGCAGATACGCAACATGGTCCCTGATCCAGTGGGTGGCAGCAAATGGATTAAGCCCCAGAAGGGAAGGACCCTACTTTCTTGTCCTCAGAGTTGACACTCCAATAAAATGTCTTCAGAGCACAGGTTTCTCGGAATAACATGTTCCCTGCACAAATTCTCTTCCACCTTTTCCAGTTTGGCCAAATACTCCTCAAAATAAAGCATAAGCCTTTCTCTAAGTTCCCTTAGTAGAGTTTCTAAAAAGGGAAAATTAAGACTTTCAAGATAGGTCCTACCCAAGCAAAAGATGTAAAAACAATTTTCCCAGGATGTGACTCTTTCCAAGTCCTTCATCATGAATCAAGATTATGACCTTCCAGGGAGAATCTCCCAAATCCCAGGAGGCATCAAACATATCTGGGTGATCAAGGAACAGTGGTGGTGTTGACAAAATGCCACATGGAAATCAACAAGAGCCTCCAGCATTAAAGGGCTTCTTCTTCCCTTTTTTTTTTAGGTTGGAGCCCAACACAGGGCTCGAACCCATGACCCTGAGATCAAGACCTGAGCTGAAATCAAGAGTTGGACTCTTAACTGACCAAGCCACCCAGGCACCCCAAAAGGGCTTCCTCTAACAGGAGGCCTGAAATGAATTCTCACATTGGAATACCATTGATATTCATCTTTAGTTTTATTTTAAATAATTGTGTGGCTCCATGTGCAGTTTTTGTTACATTCAAGGAAATTGTAGGAGAGTTTAAGTATGAAAAATACCTCTAGAATAGGGCCAAATCTTTTAACCAACTCAATATTTATTCTAAATATCCATAAGAAGTCACCTTCCACAGTTATTATGAAAGCTTTGTATGATCATTAAGGGAAAATAAGTTTTTCTCAAAGAAAATATTTATAATTACAGTTTGCTTTTTGCCATATTGCTTTTCTTCTAATCTTAGAACAAGTAACTTAAAACTCAGCTTCATAGAGTTGTCTTATTACTGAAAATACTTGAGTCTCCCAAGTGTGCATAACCAGAAAAAAGCAAAGAAATGTCCATAAAACATTAATTCAAGAGCCACAAATCTACCTGTAAAAATAGCTACCTATATGCATAATTATTTTTTTTCTATCAGTCTGTTAGTGTGAAACCAACAGTCTCATCTATTCTTCATTTGGGGTAAATTAGCACATGAAATTATCCAGGTTCTTCACAGCAGAAGTTCTAAGGAAATACTTTGGTGATCCTACAAGATATGATTCTCTACTACAGAACTTCAAATATTATTCTTTTTTTTTTTTTTAATTTTTTTTTTTTTTTTATTTGACAGATCACAAGTAGGCAGAGAGGCAGGCAGAGAGAGATAGGAGGAGGAGGCAGGCTCCCCACTGAGCAGAGAGCCTGATGCAGGGCTCGATCCCAGGACCCTGGGATCATGACCTGAGCCGAAGGCAGAGGCTTTAACCACTGAGCCACCCAGGCGCCCCTCAAATATTATTCTTAACGAAGGATTAAAAATGGCTCTTAGAAACTTTTAAGGACAGGGCAGATACTCCCTGGTTTGGATGGCTTGGGACAAAGTCAGGAATTCCGAGGGTCACAGGTCTCTTGAGAGTGGGCCAAAGGGAGAGGATGACATTGTTTCATGGCCTCAGTCCGGTCTTGGCCTTGCTCTCATTACTTCCGTTTATTACGTTTCTGCGAACAAGGTTACTGCAGACCCATCTTACCCCTTAGCCAGGCTTTCCCCTTGGCCCCAATCCCTAGTTTCTGCTTTAAATTAGGTGTTTGGAAACATTGAGCTTGGATAAGACCTCCTTGAGACCTTTCTTGGGTCTAGAAATTATTCCACTGGCTGTTGGCAGCTCTGAGCCGCTCCCTTTATTATACCGCTTCATGGAGCACCTGTGACTGTACTAACATTGTCTCCAATGCTGGGAGCTGGCCTGTTGGTCAGGCCTGGCCGGTCAGGTTCTGTTCCAGGAGCAGTATCCCTTACAGACCTGGGTGTGAGTGTCTTAGATGTTTCTGCCAATCCACCAAGGGATTTCTTGAACATAACTAACTCAAATAAACCCTAAGAATCTGGAAGGATGAGACCAAGGGATCTTAATTACTTTCTCTAGCACCAGGACAGCATGAATTTTTACAAAAAGAAATGGATAGGGCTGTCAGATATCATAAAGAACACAGTCTTTCTCTTGAATAAAAGAATGAAAGTCAGACATGCATGCGTGCGTGCACACGCACATACACGCACGCACATGCACACCCACACACCACGCACTAGTGGGTGCATTCTCTCCAGTAAACCCTCCAGTACGTTCAGAGATTGAATTTCTTTCCTCTATCCTCTCTCCTTGGTAACCGTCAACTCCAGACCTTGCCTAGCTACAACCTGGATGGCGAGTGCCATCCTGGAAACAAGCTGGCTACCCCTGGAACGTGGGCTGGAATGTGGAGGGAGGGAGGTGAAGGGTTCTGAGCCCTGTTCCCCAGGCCTTCTTTCTGGTCAGCACTGATGAAAGTCCTTTTTAAGGCCTGCCCTATTCCTTGGGGCCTGGAAGCAAGGATGTTTATAGACGTCCTGGTGAGAGAGGGCTGTTTGATGAATGCAGGAGACTGGCGAGGTGTCAGAGCTTGGAGAATGAGGCAAGGACATGAGGTATTAATATTGTCAATGATCTCTTGACGGGAAAACAGATACCGCACTCACCGTCAGATTTAAATAGGCATCGAATGCATTGATGACAAAAGGGCAGACTTCAAACAAAGGGCTGTGTGGTGGGGAGCAGAGCTAGTCTCTATGCTGGCAATAACCTGATCTGAAGAGACACTGTCAGGGCTAGAGACAGGCCCAGGATTGTGTGCGGTGACAGAAAACAGAGATGCTGACAGAGATACCAGTGCCATATTATGCCAAGGATATTCTAACACTGTCTGCCGTGCTAACGAAAGCTGACATCACTCCCTATCACTTGGGGTCTTCTCCGCCCGCTCCTGCAGAGCGGTTCTCCCCAGACATCATTACAAAACTCTCTGCTCTAAGTTCCTGGCAGCCCTGTTCTGTCAGAGCACTTGGGGTCAAGGGGCCTAAGGATAACCTCAGTCAATCTAAATTTGGACTTTGTAGGAGGAGCGCACTCATCCCCCTGGTATCTCGGCTACTTGAGGTGATCAGAGCGCCAACGTGTGAGGAGCTGTCACCTTGAATCAAATCCTTACAGGGAAGGCACCCTGTCTGTGGGCTGCTCCAGGAAGGCACAGGGACGGCCTGCCAGCCAAAAATGAGATCCAGCCGCTGGTGTTCTCCTGGGGAGGAAGGTGGTCTGGCTAGTGACAGTTAAAATCGGCTGAAATTTTTGAACTCGCGCTACCTACAGTGGTTTAAACTAAGCAAGTGTTGCCTCTGTTGAGAATCCTACCCGAGTGCACAGTTGGGCTCACATGGGACATTAGTGTTCCAAAAAATAAACAAACAAATAAAATTAATAAGGGAGAAAAAAAATCAACCCCACAATCCCATGTGTGGCCATAGGACTTTATCCTTCCTAAAGATTATTTGTAAAATAATGGCATGTGCTTATAAATTAAGTGAGGTGGCAGCATGTTTCTCTCTTCCCGGCCTCCCTGTGGCCCTCTTCTCCTGTCATGGCAACTGCCATAAACTGTGAAAATTACAGAGGGAACAGTTTGCTTGCAAAGAACATTTTGACAGGGAGGCGCTCCGAGGCTGGAATTTGGGAACCTGCTGGTTGTGACTCAGTAGGCGGTGGTTTCGGCGTACATCTGTAATGCATTCACTTGTTTGTATCTCCTTGAACTATAACGTCTTGGGACTGCAGGGGGAACAACACATTTAATGGCATATGTAGTGTTTTTAATTAAAATATCTGGCTTTGGCCATAAGAAGTGAAGCCGGCTTGCCATGCGTCAGGCCGACATGTATCTGTCTGTGTGGAGGGTTTCTTTTCAGGGTCCCTGAAAAATGACAGTGTGCTGTCCCCTGGGGAATCTTCTCGTGCCAAATGAGACTCCTAATTTTTCTTAAGTAGCCAGCTCTCCCATCACCATAAGCTTTTAAAACTATAATTATGAAAAAAATGTATTGGGAAGAATCTGTTTTAAAGAGGTCCTTTATCTTTTAAATGTTTCCCCCTCTGGAATGGATGTTCTAATTACGCAGGTTAAGTTATGACCTTGGGGCTGCCTGAGGGGCGAGAAGCAGCGTCTTTTCTTTGGATGCAAGTCTGTGATGTTGGGGCAGTACCAGAGACTGTGCCGGGCAAGACCCTCAGAGTCCCGAAGTAGAAATGCCTTGTACCCTCATGTGGAGTCCAACAAAGACCCCAGGCTCCCTGATCCCCTGGATGGCCTTAAATTTCCAGTTGCATTTCTGCTGTTTATTGATTAAGGAGAGGTGGGAGAAGACCTGTATTTAAATCCAGCTCTACCCCTAATGGTTATGTGACCATGTCCATGTCCCTTTTCCTTACTGGGCTGCATTCCCCATTTGTAAAACGAAGGCAAGGGGCCAGATAATCTTGGAAGTTCATTCTAGCTCTGAAATAAGTGATTTAGTATTTTCAAATGCTTCCCTTATGAAGACAGGGACGTCAGATCCAATACTGCCTGATAGAGAAGGCAAATCCAATGGCCAGTTAATCAAAAATTTGATTTCAACTAAGTTAGCTCTTGAAAGTCATCCAGCCCACATTCCCATAATATATAGAAGCAAAGATCTGCTGGACCTCAAAATTCCCCAGTAAGGACATTCCACTAACTTCTGTGCGGCCTGGATTCCACACTCAGTGCTGGGACATGCTTTCAGCAAACTAGCCCATGTCCTGTTAGCTTTGATATGAGCCTGTTAACTTACCAACTTTAGGTTCAACCGAGCTCAACTCTAAATATCAGAGTAAGTGGGTGGTCATTTATATCTTAGTTGTGGAA